ACTTTTACTATTAATGCTAAGGAATTATAAGTTTTATATTTGGTGAAAAAGTGTCCGGAAACTTTTGTCCACCCTCTATATATTAACAGAAGATCATGTGGTAAATATCGTCGAAAGAATGAACTTAATGGACAAAAGGTTCGATTTATCAAAGGAACCTTGATAGTGTTCATTTTTTCATTAAATTCTAAATATACCTATAATTTTTTTTTTTTTAATTAATAAATTTAAAGATTATAAATAATATACATAAATTTGTTTGTTTAATGATAAAAATGATAAAGGTATTTATTATAAGCAACAAAAAAAAAGTCTAAATCTCTCATTTTGATGACTTTTTAGATTTTGGAAAGATTCTAGCGGGTGTAAAAATACGTTTTGACTTATTATCGAATTCTTGTGATATTGTTGGAAAGTAACAAATATCTACAACCAAATCATCGATTTCATCATCTTCCCACTTTCCTTCCATATAACTAGGATCTATTTTAGCATCAGGATTAACCCAAACAAATTCAGCAACTGGTTCCTGAGTTTTAGTTCTAAACCAAAATAAACTGATTACTTTTTGAATAATGCCAGCAGCCATTTCTTCGATTTCTTGTTTCTTTTTAGGATCTTTAATTATACGATATTTTCCAATTTCTGAATTTAAATTAGATTGATTATACTCAATAAATTTGTGAATTATGGTTTTTTTACTATTGGTAATCATATTATTAAATCCTCTGTTACCAAGAGCTTCAAAAATTTGTTGACGTAATTTAATAGATATTTGAGTTGCATCATCAGTTCCAGTGCGCTTTTGTACGAAATTTTCTATTAAGTTTATCAATTCATTAGCTTTTGCGAATAAGGTAGTCTCGATACCATACAATCTTCCTTGGTGAAGGTTTTGATTATCAAAATATTCTTGCGCATATACAATAATTTGTTCAACGACATGACGTTGTAATACTGCTTTAATTAAGGGTTTTTGTCCTTTCGTAATAACCGTTTGACTTCCATATTTTATCAAAAGGTTTTGCACTCCTTCAATATTAATTTCTACATTACGCTTATAATTGGTGTAATCTTCTAAAGAATCTTGTAAATTTAAAATACCATTTTTAAGTGTAACTGAATTATATTCATAATCTGATAATCGTAAATTAATCGCAGCTCCAAGAGCAGTTTGATATTTTGAAGCTTCACCTATTAATACGATATTTTTTTGTTCTAGATCTTTAATTTCCTTGTTTTTTTCTTTTAAACGTTCTTCTAATGATTTAATTGTTTCAACGTTATTTTGAAGTATTTGATTTAAATTATCAAGTTGTTTTTTGAATGCTTCTTTTTCAACATTATTTTCCTCGTTTGTTTTTTGAAGACTGTTGAGTTCTTTTTGTTTTGAATTACAATACTCATTTAGTTCATTAAGTTTCTTTTCAAATAATTCATGAAAATTTTGAATCTGTTCATTTTGTTGTTTCAATAAGTCATCTTTTTCGGCCAAGGCTTTAATAGCAGATTTATACTTCGAGGCTTCATCTTTTGATTCAATATGTTCTTGATTTAAACGATTAATATAGTTATTATGTTCTCTTAAATTTTCTTCAAATGATTTAGTTAATTTATTGTTATCTTGAAACTTTACATTTAAATTAATTTGTTCATCAAGAACATCTTGCAAAGTTTCATTTTCCTTAGATTTTTTATTAAAAAGCGCTTCAAGTTTTTGATACTTTTCTTCAGAAAGCTTTAAATCTAGAATGAGTTGTTCAATACACTTTAATCGAGAGTGTAATTGTTGTTGAATATCCAAATTAATCGAGTTATTATTTTCATTTATTTTATTGTTCTTAAAACTATCCAAATGAGAAATACAGATAGTTTTATCAGAAATTAATTGATTATTATCGTTATAGCAATTAGTTTCTTCAGATGCCATTTTTTTAAAAAAAATATATGAAACAAATTACGTTCAATTATAAGCGCAGAATCTGATACTACTGTTAGTATTTATTTTAAAATTATTTTTAAAAATAAAATACAAATCTTTTTAATTTTTGAAGTTATTAGATTAAAATGTAATTAAGTTTTTAAATTTGGTTAAAAAAAGTTCTCGGAACCTGATTATTCTAATCTTTCTATATTATTTATCTATATATTTAAAACGTTGACGGTCACGAGGTGTCACGTTAGATTACTCTACATAAATTAATCAAATAGACGTGAAACGTTACATAATTCCAAAAAGGCAATTTTGTTTTCCAGTAAAATGTCTCATAATCGTTTACATAAGATTCCATCTTTAACTTGTTACACAAAATTTCTAAATCTAGTAAGGAAACGATACATCGATCAACCAATCAGAATTGTAATTTTTGTAATGAAATCACATGATTTAGAAAGTCATAATATTAGAAATTTTAATTAATCAAGAAATTAAATCTTTAAAAGATATTTATTTAATTAACTATTTAAATGTGATGTAATAATAAAATACTAAAATGTGATTTCAAAATGTATAAATATATAAAAATTTTACAAATTTATAAATAATTCATTTGCATATTTTAACAAATTTTTAACTTTTATATCATCATTCACCTCATCTACATTATTCAAATCTCCTTTAATTACATCTTTTTCAGTATCTTCTTCAACAAATTTTTGTTCATCTGATTTCTTTGTAAAATTGGTTATTAGAGTATCAATATTTTTCTTGATCTTATCTTGAAGATATTCTAAACATATCAAACATTTAAATTAGTATCTTTGTAGATAATGGTTATGATAACCATGCTTATATGCAAGAATAATATTATCAATCAAATAATTATTATATTTATAATATAAATAATTATAAAGAATGATAGTATTTAGTTTTCTAAAAGTAACGAAACTTCACAGAAGATGATGATCAGTCACATCATAACTTAAAGAAGATAATTTGTATGTAGTAATACTATTGGATAATGATTTAATAACTGAAGGATGCATATGATATGCTTGATAAATTTTTGTAAAGATATTCAAAAGTTAAATAACACACTTCTAAAAAAGAGTATTTAATTATTTCAGAGTATATGAATATTTAACAGCATTTACAAAATATTACTTAAATTCATTTTCGTCCTACTGCTAAAAGATTAAATATGTTTCTTTTTGCAATTATTTAGCTTAAAAAACTTAGTGGTATGTTATTATATAATGTTGTGAATAATTTTGACTGAACATATGTTTAAAGAAGTAAAATTATTAGTAATTTTATTAAAGATTGGATAATTAGTCTCTATTCAATAAAAAAGCATTAAAGAAAAATATTAAGAAGGCATGTTTATAATTTCTTCTATCAATTGAAGAAACAGGTCACTTCAGTAATTCATATAAGCTTTTTTATAAATAGATCAATTACCTTTTTAATAGTATATCATGTAAATATTAAGGACTAAGAGAATTAAATTACTTTATAGATCTGTTAAATATAAAACCTCAATATTTTTGCTTATATGTCTAATTTTTAAATAAATAATCTCTAATATATCAAACTACACTATGTGTATTTACTAATATATATTAAAAAATTGATTGATTAATTTATTAATCATATTTAAATAAGCAGAATAAAAATGAGGGTTCTGAGGTCAGAAATCTGAAAAGGTATTTAGAAACCTCCCAATATTATTTTCAAAGTCTTCTAGCTATACGAATCCTCTATTGAATTTAAAGCTCTAGCCCAAATTTAAGCTTTTCTCACTATCCAATATTTTGGTATCAATTTTGGCATTAAATTACCCTACAGGATATCAAGAATAAATCAATCTTTTATAGCATTTCTAGTCCAATTTTAATCCCAAATAATATATTAAAAAAATATAATATTCTGTTTGAGTTCAAGACGATGTGAGATTGGCAAGAACTGAAAGTTTAAAGCCAAACTCGCAGAGTCTCTGCAAACCTTCTATGTATAATATTATTTATGATATTTTAGAATTAATTCTAAAAGGAATTCGTTATCATCTAGCAAAGTAAAAAATTTACACCTAAGCTCGTCTTAGGTGTAAATTTTTTTGTATGTGTACAAGAAAGTTAAAAAGCTATAGAATATATTCTAGTATATTATTATTTTTTCAATATATAACAAACCATTCTGAAGTCATTTACTTTACATAAATCTAAGGTCAAAAAGTCAAACCTCTGGTGTAAAAAATTTGGGCTAGGTGTAAATTTTTCGGATTAAGTGTAAATTTTTATATGTGTACAAGAAAGTTAAAAAGCTATAGAACATATTCAAGTATACTATTATTTTTTGTTATATAAGAAACCATTCTGAAGCTATTTGCATTACGCAAACATAAGGTCAAAAAAAATCTAACCTCAAGTGTAAAAGGGGATAGGTGAAAATTTTTCAAAGAAGATATTAATATATAAAACTTCTAGATAAGTATCCATGCGAAGCATCTGATTCAAAGAATCCCTTTGGTCATGGTAAGCCCTATCCTGAAGCCTATTAATATATTAGGTTACATAATACCCATTAGCATGCTTTTTACAAAGCCTAGATTCAGAGCTAGTCAGCTTATCACAAACTCTACAAGGAAGACGCTTCCTAACTTTCTAATGTTCAAAGTATCTTTCAGGCTAACGACAGGTCTACTCACAAATTTCTCCAGTTCTGGGTAAATAGTTGCAAGAATATTCGTCTATCATGATAATAAGAAATAAATATTTTAATTTAAACAAAAGATTTCGTAGTATTAATACAAGCATCAGAATAGCAACACTTTTATCATGAATACACAAATTCAATTACCTGAAAGCAAACCCACCTCCCAGGAAGTCGAACAGGCACTAATAAATGTGATCAAAGTAGAGTTATACTATAGAAGGCTGAAGGAAGGCAAATTCATGCAAAGCTATAAACAAAGAATTAATAAATTATGTCAGGCAGAAGATCCTGAAGAATATATTCAAAAATCAGCTCAAACAATATTTTTCAATGAAGATAAATATAATAAAATTATGGGTAAATACAAAGATTGATATGGTAAAGATCCAGAAATTCTTAATTTTATTATGGAGTTATATAAGCTTTACTATAGATTAGCTAAGAATAATTTCAATATCAAAGCACAAGCTGACGAAGAAGTAGAAGACTTCCTGTCATTAATTTAATTCACAAGTACCTACTGGGATGGTAACTCAGTATCAGAAATAACCATCAATTCCTCTCTTACAAAAGATCTTTTCAGGTCATTACTCTCATCATCTATTAGTCAGTATAAGACTGGCTGATTTTTTTGTACTAAAGATTCGTGAATATGATAAACCTGAGGAGACCAATTCATATCAGTAGCACGTCTTTTAGCAGGACCATGTTCTAACTCTCTTGGTTTAAGAATATATCTCACTAAATCATAATAGGATAAACAAGATTCGTCATATCCAATAGGTCTTCTATATTTTACAACTGACTTAGCAATTATTTTCTTCCCATTAAGTGCTCTTTCTACCGCCTCATTAGAAGACATATCTATTAACCGAGTAGGAGTACTATTAAATATGTCATCATTAACATGAAGACTTCTAACCCAATCTCTAGAACGATTTGATAAAGGTAACAGAAAATTCATAGCATCTTACTGAATACCAGAATGCTTTTCAAATTCTTTATGATCACGTTCAGCTATAGCGTTACCTTTCTTGATTTTAGCATATTGTATTTTTACACCATATTATTAACGTTACTCTTTCCGTCGAATAAGTTAACTATGATTTGAAGTCAGGGAGGCAATAACTATAACTTAAATCCAATCAACTTGACACACTGTTTATTTGAGTTTATTTAGTTAACAAGAAATAAATTATAAGTTTTATGTTTGTAAAATGTTAAATGTATTTATTATTGTTATTAAATGTATTTTGAATACAATATTAAGAACTTATAGGAATCTGTTGAAATCTGTCTGAATCTGTCCTTTTTCTAAGGCATTTTCATGCTCTTTATATAGAAAAATATAATTAAAGAAAATCTATGATATTTATGATACTA